CGTGAGCGCGCTGCACAGCTGCTGCGCTATGCTGGCGCTGGAACCCTATCGCTATCATCGACTACTGCTGCTGCTACGCTGAGCTCCTACGGGATGCCTCAGCGTCTACCCGAAGACTGCCTACGAATGCCTATCTGCCTCCTAGGCGGACCAGCCATATATAGTGCTGATCGGGCTGGGAGGCTGCTCTTGCCAATGCCAAACGGTGTCAGTGTCTGGCGCCCAAAACGGCGCCTTGGCACCCAAACGCCAAACTGGCCTGGCACCTAAACCAGCGCCCAGGGCCCGTTCCCCCCCTGCCGGCCTACCTGGGCCTCTTAACCGGGGTCCTGGCGCTACGGAGCCGACGCGCCAGGGCCTAGGCCTAACCTGCTAACCTTCGGGCCTACCGACCTACGGGACCTACCTAGGCCGAAACGACATGGGGCCTGGAGGGCCCCTACCGAAAATGAACCGACACAGGGCCTGTAGGGTCCCCTACCAATATCCTAGCCTACCTGGTCGGGCCCTGCAGGGGCCCATGTGGTACTCAGAATGCCACAGCAGAGCACAGAACCGAACCGAACCGAACCGAACCAAATCAAACTAAACCAAACTGAACTGAACCGAGCCGAACTGAACTGAACCGAACAGAATGGACCACAACAAAAACCACTGGACCGAATGGAACAGAACAGAACAGAATAGAACCACCAATCTGTACAGAAAGAGAAGTAGGCTAGCTCAGTTGGTTGAGCACGTGAGTGGCACTCAGGAGGTCGTGGGTTCGATACCCAATGTCATCCTTTTGATGCCCGTGGCCTCCTGGGGGATGCTTTGGGTTCACCTACGGAGATTGTTGGCTTGGGCCTCCTGGCTCGTTGTGGAAGTTGAAACGGTACTCACCTGTTAGCAGTAGCGAATGCAGATCCCAGGGCTCGATCCCTAGTTACATGCCCAGTTGGGCGATGTACATAATAAACCGAGGATCCGCAATGTGATAAAACTATTAAAAAGGACTGAATGGACAATGCAGTGCAAGTGAAATCTCAACAAGCAGTGTACATTCTGATACATACAAAAATGGTGCTTTATAGCGCAGTGGAAGACTTCGATGCAAGTCCTGACCTGACCGGGACTGACCTCTATTACGTAGTGTAAGACAGCGCAGCAGAATGCTAGAATACCAATGACTAGCCCAATCAATGTTGCAACGCAGACCAAACATACATCATCTTCATCACAAGGTGTGAAGGGACCTGGCGCTACACGCAGGAAGAAGGCGCCAGGCCCAGATCATGCACAGACGAAGAGGAGGGGAACAGATGAAAAAGAGGGGGAGAGATGGGAATGTTGTCAACACCAAGTCTTTGTTACAAGTCCCAAATAATCCCTCGTCAAAATGTCTGAAGCCCAAATGTCGAGTCTGGATCCAAATGTCACCAGGCTCTCTCTTTCTCTCGTAGTCTGCTGATGCAGTGAAGTCAGGTAGCGAGAGGGTGAGAGGGAGATGGTGGACTGAGAAGAGGAGGAAGAAGAACTCTCTCTCTCTCATATGTCAGGTACTAACCTGTGAAGATGGCGCTCTGCTGCAGGTACCTCGAAGGCGAAGCTGGAGCTATGGCGCTGCAGGTAAGTATCCCCGGCCTCCGCCCAATCTCTCTCTCTCTAGTACTACTCTAGCTCCTATGGCGCCCAGCGCTGACGACTACTGCTAACGCTACTAGCACCCAGCGCTACAACTACTCCTGCAGCGCTCCTCCAGAGTGCTGCTGCCGAATCCTGAAGACTACCTCCTGCGTCCTGAACTGCACGTGAAGTGCCTGGGAAGTACCTAGGAACTACCTGCCGGCCTGCAGGGCGGGCCAGTCCTATATAGTGCTGGTCCGTCCAGGAGGCTGCTCTTGCCAATGCCGAAACGTGCCAGACCCTGGCGTTGAAGCTCAACCAGGGGTTGTCTTGGAAACAAGCCCGAAATGGCCTGTGCTAAAACCCTGGTTTGTTGCCCGAGTTTCAGGGCGGGTCGAACTGATGAGGGCCTGAAAATGGCCCTCAGTTTCAGAATGAAAACTCTCAGGGCCGGGAAGGCCCTGATTTAGCCTGAAACGACACAGGGCCTGTAGACCCTTGTTTTCAGGCTTTCAAGCTGAAACGACACGGGGCCTGTGCGCCCTTGTTTTCAGGCTTTTGGCCTGAAAACGTCAAAGGCCTGAAAGGGGGCCCGTGCAGCCTGTTGCAGGCGCAACATGTAACCCCCCCCCCTCCTTATGAAGTCAAGCCGGGGAGAGGGCGAAGCTGACTATGAAGGTGGAACGTGGATGCCAGTGCGACGTGGTGCCGAAGATACCGGCTTGTCTTGCATCTTGCGTTCGTAGCGTGCGAGAACATCCGGAGCTGTTGCTTGGAGTTCCGCACGGGTCAACCAACGGTCAGCTCTGTGACTGCAGTACGCAAAGTGTACCAAGTACTCTGTTGGCCTCTTGTCGTAGCGCCACTGGGAGATGATGTCGCCAACCTCTGGAAAACCGTCCATAGAGGGTGGGTCTTGCGATCGTCGCCCGGGGAAATCGTCATGTTCCGCTGGCGTGTAAAGAGTCAACTTGGAGTAGACGGGCAAGTGGGTGGGCACCTGAATGGTGAAGGAAGTTCCCTCGGGTGCATCCCCAGCGGGTGCCACGATCGGCCAAGGCCCCATCCATTTCGGGAGGAGCTTGCAAGAGATATCTTGTTCAAGGCTGAATTCCGTGGCGGAAACCCAAACGAGATCGTCGGCGTGGAATGGGCAAGGAAGATGCTGGCGATTGGCCTGTGGGCTCATGCGTTGCTGCGTCTTGGCCATCTGGTCGCGTGCCTTGACAAGTAGCTCTTGCATCCGACGCAAGAAAAGAAGATGGTCGTCGCTCTCGGTCGTTCGTGGAATGATTGTGTCCAACGGTGAAGTGACCGGCGAGCCGTGCTCGAACTCGAAGGGTGACATCCCGATAGTCGGGTAGATGGACGAGTTGTATGCCAACTCGACATCCGACAGCCGCTCAACCCAATCATTTTGGTCGGGACGGATAAGAGTGCGAAGGAGAACCTGTGCGGTCTGATGCGCCCTCTCCGTTTGGCCATCGGTTTGGGGGTGGCGAGCCGAACTTGGCTTGAGAGATGAGCCCCATCGTTTGATGAGCGCCAACCAAAAATCGGAGATGAACCGAGTGTCGAGGTCGCAGACAATTTCCTTGGGGTAACCCTTGGTTCGAATCCAACCGCCGTAAAGAACCTCGGCCAACTCCGATGCCGTGGCATGATAGCGGCAAGGCAAAAACATGACAAACTTGGTGAGTCGGTCGACCACCGTGAGAATCCCATCCAATCTGGTCTTGTGCTTGGGGAACGGGCCGGTAATGTCCATGGCAATCACTTCCCTTCGCCGCAAGGGGATCGATAACGGTCGCAACTCGCCATACGGACGATGGTTGCGAGATTTGCAGCGTCGGCAAACCTCGCATGACTCGCAATATCGTGTGACGTCACCGAGAAGGCCGGGTCACCAAAATCGCTCGCGAAGTCGACCAATCGTGCGATTGACTCCAAAGTGTCCGGTGACGGGAGCATCATGGAACTCGCCAAGAAGCCATGTACGCAAGTGAGGGTCACTTGGTACGCAAAGAAGGTGCTTCCCCCGTGTGTGGACAAGCAAGTACCCCTCTTGGATCCGATAGTGAGAAGGCGCCGGATTGGGAGAGGAGCAATTCGCGTACTTGTCGCGAAACTCTCGGATGAAGCTGTCCCGCAGGTCGTCGTCGATCTCGAAGGTTGAATAGACCGCGGTACAATGATCCGGATGTCGTGAAAGAGCATCCGCAAGACGGTTCGACTTCCCCAGAAGGTGACAAGGAAACAAGTCGAACTGATCGATGAAAGCCATCCATCGGGCGATGGTGCTGTTGACGGTGTCTTGGGTCTTGTAAAAGACCAATGGATTGTTGTCCATTACCCATCGGAATTGACTTCGACCAAGAAGGAAGTGCCGCCACCACTTGAGTGCGTAGACGAAGGCGAGGAGCTCCTTCTTGCGTGCATCATCAATGGAGTGCACGGCGGGCACTTTCTTGCTGAAGTACTCAACCGGGTGCCAGTCCACGCCATCGTGTTGCTAGAGGACGACACCAATGCCATAGCCAGACGCATCCGTAGTGACGCGTGTTGGCAATAGCGGGTCGTATATATGCAAGACCTCCGCAGATAATAGCGTGACTTTGAGAGCCAAAAATGATTCTCGCGCATCCTCTCTGAAGTCAAACGGTCGATCCTCGCATTGAAGCTTGGACAAATGGGCCGCAATCTTCGAGTATCCCTTGATAAAGCGTTGGTAGTAGCCAGCAAGGCCAAGGAATGAACGGACATCCGTGACGTTCCGCGGCTTCGACCACTCTTGGATCGCTTGAATCTTGTCCGATAGCGGACTGATGCCCTCCGGTGTGACAAAATGGCCCCAAGTATTCCAGCTCTTGCCGGACAAATTCGCACTTGTCGCGGTTGGCCTTGTACTTGGCGCGGCGGAGTGTCTCCAACACTCGTCGAAGGTGCTCAAGATGATCCTCCAATGACCAGCTATAGACGAGAATGTTGTCTAAGTAGACCAGCACGAACTGGTCCAACATCGCACGGAACTCGTTGGTCATTGCCGCTTGAAAGGTCGTCGGGGTGTTGGTGAGGCCAAAAGGCATGACCACCCACTCAAAATGCCCGTACCGCGTCTTGAACGTGGATTTGTAGCGATCGTTCGCTTAGCTCGAAATCTTATGGTATCCCGACTTCAAATCCAACTTAGAAAAATACTTTGCGCCACCCAATCACTCAAGAAGATCGTCGATACGAGGGAGAGGCCCCGCATTCTTGACGGTTTGCGCGTTGAGCTTGCGGTAGTCGGTGCACAATCGTAGATCCTTGTTCTTCTTCCGTACGAAGAGAACTGGTGCACCGTATAGTGAGCTACTAGGGCGGATCCAGCCCTTGTCCAACAAGTCATTGAGTTGCGCGCGGAGGACCGTAAGCTCCTCCTCGCTCATGCGATAAATGCAACCTTTCGGCGGCATGACACCGACCTCAAGAATGATCTCGTGAGAGATTGGCCGATCCTGCACCACACCCGTAGGTGACTCGAAGATGTTGGCGAACTCGTCAAGCAACCGCACCACACGGGGGTCCGAAGACAAGTCCGTGGGTGAAGAGTCGGCTACCGCGACGGTCCGTAGGAAGCATAGGTCGATTTCGTCAGGCTGCTCAGATTGCGCTACACCTTGTTATAGCAAGCATCGAAAAAAAAATATTTGTGTTATTCTTGACTTTTTTTATTGGCTATATCAATCATTAAATATACATCAATCTAACTCTACAAATAAATATAATTGATTGTATGTATAACTTGTTCTCTATAACTTCGGCGCTGAAGGCGTCGCGAACGGTAAGAGTCCGCCTGTGGAAGTTGACCGTATGATCCGCACTTGCAAGCCAAGGCATTCCCAAAATAATATTAAAGTTCGTGTCCAAAATGTCGAATGTCACCGGTTCGCATGCACGAGGTGCGAAATACACCGGTACGACCTCGATGTAGCGATCGATAAGTTGTTGCGTCCTTCCATCCTTCAACTTGATCGCCGTCGGGTTTGCCTTCCTTCGAACTTGTGCGCCAAGGCCAGCCTTTTGCATAAAGGCCTGGCTCATAAATTGCGAGACGCGCTGCTATCCAGCAAGGCGTTGCAAGACGCTTGCCCAACTTGGATGCGGACATAGAGGAGCAGTGTGATGTTGTCATCGTACCGCTGCTTGTGAAACTCACGGGCCACCTTGGTAACATACGCAAGGATGTCCCCCACCGCGACTTCGTCATCAGTCGGCGAAGTTGGTGGTGCATAGAAGGATAAGTACGTGTGAAGATGAACGCATAATGTTGTGTATTGCGGTCCCGGCAAGCGGCCAGTGGTCGGGAGAGGAAGCCATGTGAAATCCTCAGACGTGAGCGGGTCCTTGGTAACATACGCAAGGATGTCCCCCACCGCGACTTCGTCATCAGTCGGCGAAGTTGGTGGTGCATAGAAGGATAAGTACGTGTGAAGATGAGCGCATAATGTTGTGCATTGCGGTCCCCGCAAGCGGTCAGTGGTCGGGAGAGGAAGTCATGTGAAATCCTCAAACGTGAGCGGGTCCAATACCTCTATGCTGAACTCGCGCGTCGAATCCCGTGAAGAACCACTTGAAGACGATAAGTTGCCGTTGCCGGACGGAGAAGATGCCGTACACACGTCTTGTCCTTGAGCATGAGTACCCAGCGTAGGAATGAGCCTGGCAGCATAGTCCTCAAAAGAATAAAGAAGAGGAGGACTATCGACTTCCGCATGTGCCTCGGAACGAAGGGCGGTCACCCGCGAAGTGACCGGTTCCGAAGGCGTCGAGAGTGTCGTCGACTTACTGCCGACAGTGCTCAGTTTCCCGATTTGCCCTTGCCTTTCGACCGACAAAACATTGTCTCATGGAGATCACTATTACACCACAGACAATAACGGAATCTCGTGCGTGCCTTGTACGCCGTTTCGGAGAGACTGTAGTGACCATGGGGCTGGAGCTGTTGTGTCGGGCCCGGGGCTAGATGCGGTGTTTGTCTTTGCCTTGTCTTGTCCTCAGCCTTTGTAGGGGCGGCCAACTTCCCGGGCAACTGCGAATCTGTCCCCTTCATTGGCAGACACGGCCTCGCTAGATTGGTCGTTTGGTGTTGCTGCAGCGACCATGGCCACTTTCGGCCGATCCTGATCTCTGCTCGGGCCTGTCGCAGACGAACGGTGGTGGTTCTTGGCCTCCTTGTTCGTGACAATAATCTGCGCGGCCTTGTCGAAGAGCTCCGCCGGTGTCATCAGGGTGTCCTCAAAGTGAGTGAAGGCATTGCCCAACGCCGGACACGACCTCGAGATGAAGTAGTGTTTGATGGCTTTGAAGCCCATTTGAATGTCTGAGACGGATGTCAAGCGTTGGTCCTCGGCAATCCAGTCAACACTCGGCAGTGTGCCTTGTTCGAAGGTCATTAGCTTGTCCATTAACTTGATCTCCGACGGCTCTACTTGGAACCGCTTATGCCACGTCGCCTTTAGATCATCCCAGCTGATCTTGGTATGCAAGTCGGCAGCCACCACTCCGTACTTGGACAGGAGATTGTCCAGCCATGCTTGGCACGCGCCCCYCGAGCGGGAGTATAAGTATGTGTGATGCTTGTGCCCGCTGACGTTGAGTTCAAACTTACAGAACCACGGAATCGGGTCCGTCTTCGTCGAATTGCAGAAGATCTTCTGATCATCGAACTTTGGAGTTGTCTCGCGCGGTTCCGATCTCGAGGGAGTGGCGGCAGTACAGATCCTCTGCTCCAACTGTTGCGTGCTGTTTTGTTGTAACTGCACGCCGTCCTTGAGGGTTCCGACGTCAATCTCCAAAGCCTTGAGGCGCTCGGAGGTCTTGGAAGAGCTGGCAACGGGGGCGGCGATGGTTTGGTCCAACTGCTGGAGGCGGCTGTCGACTTGGTCAAACACGTGATTGTGTGTCTGAACYGTATCGTCGAGGTTGTGAATGTCCTCCTGCTGAGCAATGCACGTGGCCAGGTGGTCCGTGAGATAGGAGAGGAGTAGAGCGATCCTGTTTCCACTCTCTTCCAACTTCCCATTCTCAGCCTCGGCCCACCAGTCCGCTGCCATTGTGAGCAAAGCTCGCTCTCCATTGAATATCTTCTCGCGTCGTTGAAGTTGTTCTTCATCGACAACCTTTGCTGCTCCCTCGTCTTGCAGGCGTTGCTGTTCAATTGCCAACATACATGCCTTCTCGGTGTCCTCTGCCTTCTTCTTTGCTGCGGCTGCTACTGCATCCGACCGTTGCTTGGCTTCGGTAATCAGAAGAAGCATCCAGGCCTGATAGGCCTCGTCCGTTTCCCCGGACTTCTGGTCCATGACGGTTGTTTGCAAGCACAAAAGCATAGACCAGGCCGGGGGCCTGTTGACGTGGTACTCCCTGCTGCTGATGTGGCACTGCTGTCGACAGATGTGGTCTGCTGACGTGTCCTGCTGACGTGTCCTGATGACGTGTCCTGATGACGTGTCCTGCTGACGTGTCCTGCTGACAGGGCAACTTACCAATGCCGCTGCAGGGGGTACCCGAAGACAGATAGAGAAGGTAAGGCGAGAGGGGGCAACAACATAGGTGGGGAGGGGTGGGTGGGGATAAATCGCCCAGATAAGGAGCCACTAATCAAAAAAGGAAAGTTTGAACTTTGCAAAAAAAAATTCAAAAAAATAAAAATCCCAAGTTTTGCAAGTTCAGTAGGTCTCCCAACCTCCCTTGAAGTGCGAAATTATCAATGAGAAAAAAATTCGAACTTTCAAACCGCCAATGATTATCAGGTAGTGTTATGACCTGTCATCACACGGACTGAAACAGACAGCCGATTTCTGAGTCTTGCCGTGGAATGCATGCCATACTAAGTTCCCCGCCTGCTAAGTCTGCTTGTGTGTGTGTGTGCTGGACTGCATGTCTGTCTGAATGCTGGCTGACCTGTGTGAGTGTGCTGCGTGCCTGTCTAAGTGACTTGAGTGTGTGTGTGGCCCCGTCGGGGTCGTGGATGTGGGGGCAGGACCGGTAGGGCCGGTACTTACCGGTGGCGTG